GATTAGACGGGCGGTCCTCGAAACTTGTTGCTGCTGTTTTTTTGTCGTTGGTGGGGGGGCGAGTGGTGGCGACATTGGAGGTGGGAGAGGGCAGACGACGACAATTGGTGGTGTCGCTGTGGCTGGTGCAGCCGGTGGTGGGAGAAGCTGTGTTCTGGTCGACAAGGATAACGTCGTGAAAATTAGCAGTCACGATCAGGGGAGCTTCCATGTTGGTGAAGAAGTTCGTGACGATGGTGCTGGAGTTGCTAAGATTAATGAAAACATCCTGACTGTAGATGTGAGTGATGTAGGAAGAAAGTTAAACGAAACTTACAACAATAACACCACCAGAGACAACAACATTGACGACGCAAACAACAACAACACAATCAACAACAACAACAACACAATCAACAACAACAACAACACAAGCAACAACACAAACAACAACAACGACGTTGTTGAAATCCACTCAGCGTCAACATCAACAGCCACCAACACAACGATACTCACGCCTAGGCGACTCAACACATTACTCTGCTGCCAAGCAGCAGCAAACAACACTAAAAACGACAAAACCCTCAAAACAACACCACCACCACCAACAACAACAACAAACAAAACTAAAAAATCAAATAACGACTCGAGTTTTTCTGAAGAAGATTGCGAAAACAAGAAAAAAACATGGCGGCTGTCAAAGAAAAAACTCTCGCGTGGTTACAAATCAATACCCTTGAAACGCTTTCCGGCTGCCACAAACGCTACCGCCACTACCACTACTGCTAATAACGCAGAACTGCTTTTGGGGGGTAATAAATATGGTGGAGATGGGGAGGTTGGTGGGGGTGATGATGGAAAGGGCGGGAAAAAGTTACTCGAAAGAATGGAATCATCGCATGTTTACATGGGACCCGCCTCTGAAAAGAAGTATGAATGAGTGAAAAAGTGGATGAGTGAAAAAGTGAATGAATGAATGAATGAATAAATGAATGAATGAATGAATAAATGAATGGTTAAATGAGTAAATGTGTAAATGGTGGATGAATGAATGAATGAATGAATGAATGAATGAATGGCTGGATGGCATTTCAGCGCAAAATAAATGAACGAATTGCGGAGTTCTTAAAACTAAACAAATGAATAAATAGATTCTGGAATGGATGGACGGATGGATAGGTGAGTGAAAGAATGATGAATGGATGAATGAAATAAAGAAATTAACCAATTAACAAACATTAAAACAGATCGATCAATCGATTGATTGATTGATGGATGGATGGATGAATGGATAGATGGATGGTACAGCAAATGATTAAAGAAATGACTCTGCTTAATATTGAGTGATGATTTAATATACGTATAAAAAATGAAAAATTCATTTAAATGAAAATTTATATAAATATTTTTTTTTAAATACTTTTTTTTAAAAACAATCAAAGGTCAAGGTTCATATTCTTCTGCGAATTTCTCTTTAATATTCCAGAGCGGCATCGAACAAGAAACACACAGTGCATATAAATATCAATAAACCCCTGACACAACGTACCACACACATTTCAAATTGCATGTGTTAGGCCGGGATTTGTTTGTAATCGAATCCTGTCACTAAGAGAGCTGCGCCAAACACATTACCGCAACACCACCAATAATTATAAGAAACAGTTTCATGAAACTTTTCTTCGTATCCATACAAGACTTTATAAAATTGTTGTTTAAGAAAAAATATCTTTTAATGATTGATATGTACGTATATGATTAGCATAGTTCATTAAGACTCGTGTAATGTGATAGATTATATTTTTAACGAATTGTCTGTGTGTGTGTGTGTGTGGTGTGTGTGTGTGTTATTGAACGTAATTATTAAATAAAATATAGTATGATTACTTTTTTATTGTAATTATTTCAAGTAGCAGTAACTATCTTTTACTATTTATAACGGTAGCATGCGTAGGTCGGTGCAGGCCTATCCATTAACGTCATGTGGTGGAAAAATATTCGCAGATTTCCAAACGAACCTAGCTGAAAAAAATGATTTATTGATGTTTCTACTAACACTTAATACTTGAATACAATGTAGTAGTGAAGTCTGTGTGTGTGTATATCTGTGTGTGTTAACACTTAATACTTGAATACAATGTAGTATTAAAGTTTGTGTGTGTGTATATCTGTGTGTGTTTGTGTGTGTGCGTTTGTTTGTGTATGTGTGTGTTTGTGTGTGTGTGTGTTTGTTTGTGTGTGTGTGTGTCTGTATGTTTGTGTATACCTTATAGCGTGTTGATGTGCGTACAACAAAGTTATATTGTTTCTTATTTTTGTATCTGTGTATGATAATACCTGAAGTTTCAATGCCACATACGATAATGAACGATGGTAATAAACGAGGTTCCCAGTCCGGCTTGCATTCGAACATGGTGAATGCGACACAGACATCCCAACCATATCAAGATGAAAATAGAAAACCACAAATGAGTAAACCACAAATGAGTAGCATCATGCGTAGACATATTTGAATGGGAGAATTTATAAAACTTAAAACAAACTTATATGACAGTAAAAAATTTCAAACGCGCGCACGCACACACACACACACACACAAACACACACACGCACTTCATATTTCCAAGCCATCAAACATATATAAAATCTATGAAAACCGATCTAGTTAGCAGTTTAGGAAAATAAAAAGGTTATGTTACTTGCTTGCCAACAATACAAAACGCCCTAATTGCTACTGTCAATTATTTTTCATTTATTTTCTCGCGAAATTAAATTTTTAAATCACGTTTTGTCATTTGTTTGTTACAGATTTTCCATTAATTTGTGTAAATAAGAAGCATTTATTTGTCTATTTATTCAATATTTTTCCTTTTAAAATAAAATTTTGACCCGTTAAACAAATTGTATAGTCATTTACGATTAAAACGTTAATACGTAATAAAAAAAACTATATTCTGTATGATTTTTGTGTCTCATTACTTGAAAAAATTGAACGATAAAAAGAGTTATACCCAAAAAACTACCATAGAAACTGAAAAGAATAATAATGAACGTGAAATAAAAAGACATAGATCCATTTAAAAGATTTATTAGTAAACATACGATGCAAAGGCTCGAGATTGGTCCATTGAAATTTGAAATATGCGTGAATGGTGTGACAAAACTTGAGTATAAGAGTTCTCAAATTGAATGATGAATGCGGTAATGTAACATTATTAAAGCTTAAAAATCTATCTTTATCAGTTAATATAACCTTAATAAAAGGCGAACCATTAAAATTATTTCTGTATCGAAACTTTTTAAAATCTTTTGATTAGAAAACTGTATGAAAATGTCATTTTGATGACTCTAGAGACATTGGCAAATGTTTTGCGTAAAGGTTAAGAACATTGTTGACGAAGTAAGAGGTGCTAAAATTAAACTAAGTTTTGTACGACACACAGACACCACACCACACATACAAACACACAAACAAACAAACACACTTTCACATACTGAAGAAATGCCATGTGTGGGCCGGGTTTGAATACTATCATTATGTGTGTGTGGGTCGTAATGGAGAACTTTTAAGAATGATAATGTTTAAATAAAAATGTTGTTTGTTGTGGTAGAAACGTCGAAGTATAATCTATTTTATCCATCTCTCTCTCTCTATTTCTCTCTCTCTTTCTCTCTTATCTCTCTCTCTCTCTCTCTCTCTCTTGCTCTCTTGGCATTTATTTTTCTTACACTTTCTTTTATTTTTTTCTCTCTCCTTTTTTTATTTTTTATTTATCTCAATCTATCTATCCGTCTTTCTGTTTGTGTATGTGTCTTTACAAAGAATCGGTC